TACTGGACATCTTGTCTTTCCTTGTTTCCTGCTTAGTTATTAGAGCAGGCGTTAGTGATCGAGGAGCAGTTGCGCAGAGCAGCTTACCTCAACATGACAGAGGACCCGGCCCACCCGTCCATGGCCCTCAACACTCGCTTCAGTGAAGTGGAGTGTCTTGCTGAGTCCCACCAACACCTCAGCAAGGAGTCCATGTCTGGAAACAAACCTGCCAATGCAGTCCTGCATAAAGGTGAGACATGGAAAAAACCAAGGTATGCATTGTAAGGATGTCATGGGCCTTGAAAATATCTGAAAGGGTTTAGGTTTCAGTAAAGTCTAACTTTTAGTTTATTGAAATAAATATTAGTAATACATTTTGATAATAGCTGTTTAATATCAGATTATAATCTGACAATTAAAGAGTCTCATCTCTGATAGAAAGGGAGGAGATAGGGACAAAATAGCTGCACAGGCTTTGCTCTGGCTTTGTAACTGCGAAGTGAAGTGCTGTCATTTACTTTTCATTTAAACTAGATTAAAGTACCCGTAGCTATTTTAAATTTTAACCTTATTGAAATCTATAGAACACATTATAGTGTTAATGTTTACCTACATCTGAAAGGAGCAGCCTTAAATCATGTCATGCTAAACAACGTACTCCTATTGTTTCTTGTTCCTTTGTGCTTTTTGCTGCATTATGATGAGAGAATATTTTTGCAGTGCGGTATCCTGTCTTTATGCAACTGATTTTGAATCCTTCAGAACTAAAATAGTCCATCATTAGTATAACCAGTCATATATTTTTTACAGTTCTCAAACAGCTGGAGGAACTGCTGAGCGACATGAAGGCTGATGTCACGCGTCTCCCTGCAACCATCGCCAGGATACCCCCTGTGGCCGTGCGGCTGCAAATGTCTGAGAGAAACATCCTCAGCCGATTAGCCAGCCGGGGTCCAGAGGTCACCTCACAGAACCAATCACAGACCTCACAGCAGCAGATGCAGGTGCCCCGCTGACCAATCACGTTGCACGTTTTTCTCTCTCAGAGGCCAGCCCCCCCCCCCCAAACCACCATGTACAGCACAGTCAGGTTAGTCCTTCTCGTTCTGCACCCACAATTTCTTTCTGGACTCAGGAGAGCATCAGCTTTGCTGCTGGACTTTGACTTCACTCCATACTGGAACTTAAGGTGCAGATTGAAGGAAAAATCTCTTCCTTCTGTGGCAGACCAGAGACAATTCTTTTTCCTCCACCGGGACTCCGATTTCACTCCTGTATCCTGAGCACTGTCAAACTGCGGGACGCTTCCCCGACCTGTCCGATTCTTTCTTCACAGCAGGGTCAAACTGTTATTTGTAACTTTATGTAACATGAAGCTGAAGAGGCTAGATAGGAGAAAAAGCAGCATGTCTGAAGTCTCCTGGTGCTTTGTAGTCAGATTATTAAAGAATTCAAGGGATTTTTGCTAATTTTCACTTTTAGAAACTTGTGAAGCTTTTTTTTTTTTTTTTAAAGGTAGTTCAAGTCTAATGTCCTCATCTGTGTGCGTGTGTGCAGACAGAAAACGAGAACATATGAGTAACGATTTCCTCTCTGTAAAATAAGGCATATTCATGTGCACTGCTACTGCAGAAAGACTCTTTACACTGAGACTGTGACCTCCTTCTGTGACCTTACTTTACATCCCACATTTACTCGTCTCTCGTCAGGTGACTCTAACCAGGATCAGCTCTCTGTGCTCCACAAAACAAACCTTGACATTCCTAACAGACTACTCCACAGATTTGCTCCTTTGAAACTCTCCTTTGGACATGTAACAGCCCCACATGTTTTAGCTACATGGGATGGTTTTGTGAATGACAGAAAACTTAAGTTAATTTAATTTCTTACTGTCTTTTGTTATGTTGTCGATTGAATATAATTATTATGGTTACCACCTTTATTATTACTGTTTGTTTTTATGGACTACAATAAAAAGTGAACCGTTTTTAAAGTATAATAATATTTTAAAGATTTCCGTAAATGGGCTTGAGCTTGTATAGCACTTTTCTAGTCTTCTGACTATTCAAAACGCTTTTACATGTCACACCTACACATTCACACACTGATGGCAATGGTTGCTGCATAGTGAGACCATCAGAAGTAGATAATCCCATTTATGTGCATTCATACGCCAACTACGAAGCAGCAGGAGCAATTCTGGGTTTAGTGTCTTGCTCAAGAACACATCGGACATGTTGCTGCAGGAGCCACAGCCACCCCTCAGTGATGTATGTGAGTCATGTTCTCTTTATGATGAATTTAACTTCAGGGATTTTTCATCGTTTGGCTTCGTTAGCTCCAAACTTCAATTCTCCAGCTCAACCTGAAGTATGTTCAATGATGTGACAATGAGAAGTGCAACATAATCCATAACATCATTTAATGCCAGAACAGCTTGAACACTCCTCTGCATTCATTCTTTGGGAAGGGGAGGAACTTAGCGTGTTTGGAAATGTTCCCTCATTCATGTTTAAATGATGTAGGGGAGAAAGATTTTTTTTTTGTAAATGTGTTTATCTCTCTTCTAGTCTTTAATGGTTTAAGAATTGTTGGTTGTGAGTGTCAGGCTCAAACCATCCACTAACCCCTACATTTGTTATATTTATGTTCTTTTATTAGATACCTCTCTTTCGATAAGAATAGAATAACTATGTAGATGCAAATGTCTGTCCAGCAACTATCTGTTCAAATGAAAAAGTGTGATGTGCTTTGCATGAAAACCTTGAAAGACGAGGTATCGTAAACATTGATGCAAATGTTGATTTTGCGTGGCCGGATGGAAAAGCCGGAGAGTCTTTGCACATGGAAGAGGTCGTGAGAGGGAGATCAGGGCGAGAAGCAGAAGAAGGAAGGAACAGGCACATTTTTTTACTGTAGATAGTTGGACAATTAAGGAAATTGTAGTAAATTACAGGGCGGGAGGATCGGCTGTGCTGGTAATGAAGCCTGATATCTTATCAACAGAGAGAGAGGCTAATTCAGAGTGAGGCTGAGCACAAGTGAACTTCGACAGTAACAAAAAAAAACAAAGGGAGCAGACCTGGAGTGGCTGTCAGTGTAACCTGACTCTGAGTGAGTGTGGATATTTGGAAGAAGAAACATACTGACCATCTTTATAAACAACAAGACACATTTGGAGTCTTCGCATCCGAGTGCAGAAGAGCCAAGACTGAGTCACTACTGCAAGGGGCCCGACCATGTCTTGTGGGTGAGTATCCACTGTTGTGTAAAGTATAGTAAATGTTTGTGCGTGTAACTACCTTTGCAATAACTCAGGAGTTGTGATTAAATGAGAATCCAGATGCAGATTTAATAATTCAATATATCGTTCTACAAATAAAATAAACCTAATATTAGAGTTTTCTAAAATATTTTAGCATAAACTTTTATATTACAATAGTGCCATATATATTAACATTGTTTTTGATCATGTTTTGGGTTCTTAACACTAAACTTAAATGCTTTGCGGAATAAAATGTGATAATGTCATGAAACAGGCATGACAAGTCAGTTTTGGTCATAGACCCCTGTAGCTTTACGGTTGTCCACAGCAGCTTAATACAACTTGAAAGATTCAAGAGTCTCACTACCAGGAAGCTGCATGGAAAAAAAAATGTAAATATTCTCATCTCACTGTTAACACCTAACAAAACCAAATGCTCAGAATAACATTTTAGAGAAGTGCGACCGAAACAGTTTCCCAAATCATAAACGGCCTCAAAATGACAGAAAATCACTTGACAGATAAAAACAAAAGAGAGAAGAAGCAGATTCTAACATGTAAGAAGAAGGAAGCAGTGAATGGGATGATTAACTGACTAATTTCTTCACTTCTCCGGTGCGTAGCAAGAAATTCTGGACCCCGTAACATGTATACTCTAAAGGCTTTTCCTACAGCCGGGGCTGTTCAGTCTGTGACGCCCTCATCACATACAGGCTTGTATAGTCCCCGTCGGCACCATTACTGTCATGTTTTAAAGGTACAGAGCATGTACAGCACATCTATCTGAACAGACACAATTCAGTGCGTTGCAAAATGTCTGATGTGTCACAACATTGAAATGCTTGCAAAGCCAGAAGAAACATCTTTGTTGTAAAATGGAAGAGAAGAAAAACCAGAGTCGACTGTTAAACATGTTAGTGTTGAGTATATGGCACACTGCAGTAGCGGCTGTTAACCACGATAAATGACACCTGCAGTAGTGTGTGTGTGTGTGTGTGTGTGTGTGTGTGTGTGTGTGTGTGTGTGTGTGTGTGTGTGTCTGTCTATGCATGAGTGTGAGAGAACAGGCTGGCTGGAGCTACACTCTGCTGTATGTTTGTAAGGATTTCCACTTAATCTTAGCTTTAAAAACAACTTTCCCTTTTACCTTTAAAATGTCAAACTGCTCTTCTTAGAGTTGAATGAAGTAAATGATGTTGGCAGTGGACCAATACTGACATACTGTATTTTTCATAAATTCAAAACATATCGATACACTGATACCACTTGGAGGAAAACAATTTGCAAGTTAAATGTATTTGTCCCAGTTTGTTTCAAAGGTTCTAAAATGTGACTTCACATGCTGTTTCTGCAGAGTGTTCTTTATAGGAAATTGGATGCATGAAGTGCCTCTTAACAAGACTCTAAATACTTCTTTTGATAGCAACATTAGAAAAATTCTACACAATTTGAAAGATTTATGCTTCAGACCAGTCTTCCGTCACAGTTTGAGCTTTTCTGCTTCAGTAATTTGATAATGAGTGCACAGTTGCTAATGGTTTACCAGCTGAGAGCAGCACTATTCCACACAAAAACACACATGTATATATATAGAGTGGGGAAGGTTGAAGTGCAAATAAGGAAGTGCTCTGTGACTTTGACCTTTTTTTTTTTTGCGCTCCAAACACACGCACGCACACACACACACACACACACACACACACACACACACACACACACACACACACACACACACACACACACACAGACTCAGACACACCTGGAAGTAAAGCGCAAACAGACAACAATAGTAGCAGACAGGTGGGCAGACGGAGGGGAAAGCTTTACATGTAGCTGACTCAAAGGCAGTGTGGGCTTTTTCATGAAGCTTTTACATTTGTTGATTTTTTTTCTTCCTTCAAACATGGTGGAACTACAGCACAGACTCTCTCGCTCATGATTTACTGCTGCATGGAACCACTATAACTACCTGAGCTGCTTCATTGTTTGAGTGTTTGTAAAGAAAACTATGCGTTGGAGCATCCGAGAGCAAGTCTCCAGAGTTTAAAGACACTCTGCATTTTAATATGATGAGTTTCTGTTTAGGTTGTCTCTCAAACAAACAAAAACACTGAGTGTCTATCGGTTTGAGGAATTCCGGCCCCGTCAGCTATTTAGGTTCCTGTCTTGCTTTCACTATTTTGTGAAAGGAGACATAAAAAGGAAGGAAGGGGAGAGCGAGTGAGGGAGGAGGCGCAGACGAGTATACAAGTGAGGCATCTCGGTGACTGTCAGTTGTTTCCAGAAGCAGCTGAGAAGAGTAAGTGTTTGCCTGCTTTTCTATTGGGACAGAGAGGGGTTGGGTAGAAAGAGATTTGGTTGGAGGGAGGAGAGGGAGGTTGAGAGCGGGTAGTTTGACAGTTGTTTTGTGGATTTTAGTTCAGCGATAGAGCTGAAGGATTTTGTATCAGATGAATATATGTGAGTGTCAGAGGTAAAGCTTGTGTACAAAAGAGGAAAAGCTGAAATTACAGCGAGTTGGTTGTATCATAGCGAGTATGCTGTTGTAAAGTGAGGAAGTAATTGGGACCTGGCTGATTCTTTGTAAAACTAGAGCTAGAAATACTGTACTTATGCCTCTGAGTGTGAACATGTGCAGGAAGAAGTGACACTTACCGATCACTCTCCTTCTCTTGGTCCCAGAAGAAGTGAAGAGACAACATGGTTCGGTGAGTCAAGCCCCCCACCGGACAGCTTCATGCTCCATTAGTCAACTCTTGTGTTCTTTCTGCAAGGCGTGATGACAACTTCTCTGTTTCCATTCCTCCTTCTCTTTCTTTCCCCAGCTGTCGACTCGTCCTGCTCTGTTCCTCTTATCATGTGATTTCTGATGTGCCCCCTTTTTGTCTGTTTGCGTAAAGAAAACGTGTCATAAATGATGTTTAAGTGTTATGTTGATCAAGCTCCAGTCTGTCCTTCATCCTTTGAATGAGCACGAGCATCCATTGTATACAATCTCTTGTGCGGCAAGCAGAAGTAGAAAGAGAAGCACATCGCTTCTTCAACCTCAAACTAATTATTGAAAAAAAGTATGGTTAACTGCCTATAAAGATGTATTTTGGAACAGTTCAAGCTTTATGTTGCATTATCTAACCCTAATACTGCGAGACAAATCTATTCAGATTCATTGTCAACAAGTTGAGACATTTATAACAGATTTATTAAATATCACATTTAAAAGTTGAAGGCTGTGTAACATGGAAACTGAAAAGAGATATATCCATCTTCTACATTTGGGTGATGAATATTTACATTTTGTATCATTGAAATTTAAGGAAAAAAACTTTTTTTGGGGGGGGTGGGGGGGCTGTGAGCCGAGCTTGACCATAGCACACTTATTCTAATTGCATATGAAATGATAAAAGCTCCAGGAACAGATAACATAGTAGATACTCAGTCTGAACTAATGGTGCCATGTCACAGTAACTCATTTGTAAGAGTATATTAGGAAAACTTTAGCTCAAAGTTGTTGATGAAAAGATTAATTTACTTTTTTATACGTATTATAGTTGTAAAAATATCTAATATGTGTGAGGTTTCTGTGGAATTGATTTCTGACTCGTGCGCCGTCCGTGGCCCTGTGGTAATGGTGTCGATCACGCTCTTAAAATGAAGGTTTCTACACTTCTTTTGTGATTCAAGTTTTTTCTAGGCTTTGATCAAAACTTTCATTGCTCATAAACCTGCACAGTAAAGGATGCAGACTTCATAGTTAAAGAAATAGACTGTTTTGAATATTTTTTTGAATATCAGTGATACTAACCCATATGAAATGCAACAACTTAAAAAACACCAGAGTGATGAGTTAAAAGAGACGCTTTACGGTTTAAAAAAACACAGAAGAATTCAGAGAGATGGAAAGGTAGTCTTTTATTAACAACTATTTCACTAGAATATAATGAGTGAGATATAAGAATCAGTTGTTAGTAGACTGGATGATGAATTGAAAACACTCTGATTGGACGTGCCTCTGGAAATTAACTTAATAACAAGTCGCTACTAAAAATACTACAGTTAAGTTTCTGCAAAAAGTACTTTATTTCCTTTTTTTTTTTTTTGTATTTTGTCCATCAAATATCTTTGCATGTGTTGTGTTCCAGCTCGCACAACAGTGTTCATAAATGTGTATGTGCTATTCTTTCTCTGACACGAGTCTCGTCTGTTGGTTATTTTTTTGACTCTGTACATGTGTGTCACTGCAGGTGGTTCCACAGAGACATCACAGGCCTGCAGGCCGAGGAAATGCTCAAGAACCGAGGCATACATGGCAGCTTTTTAGCTCGACCCAGCAAGAAAAGTGTGGGAGATTTCTCACTGTCTGTCAGGTGATTATGTCTGCAAAACTATCTTTACCTGTCCTAACCAACCTGCTGAGAAGAAATCAAAATTGTTATTCCTTTTCAATTGTGCTCTAAGCCAATCCGCACGTCTCCTTTTACTAATAAATCTTAATGCAGAAGATACATGGCAAAAAAAAAGACATCTTGTTCCACTCTGCAAACCCTGCTGCAAATACTGGGAATCTACCTTTAATGTTTTATTTTTCATAAATCAACCTAATTTAATGAATTGTATTCTTTGTTTCCTCATAAGAACTCCTGAATTAATTATCTGCCTTTAATCTTTAACTGATTTCTCACAAAACGTTTCCACAACTTGAGAGAGACGGCGATCAAACTTTCCACTGCACCTTGTGGTTATGATCTTGAATGTAGAAATGTCTTATTGCTCCAGATACATTTGATGATGCTTTATTTATCTAGCACAAAAACATATATGGGTTGTTATTCACAATCTGAGGGAATACAAAGAAATACAAATATTTTCAGAATCATCAAGTATTTGCTAATAATTTAAAATATCATAATTTGAACTCAATAGATGAAATGTCGTATTGGACTCACTGAATCGTCTGAATTTTTTTCCGTGTTATGTCTTACTGTATTTCATGTTTATTTGTATAGAGACAAGTATGGAGCAAGTAAACCGTTACCACACACAACAGCATTCAAAGCCTGAGCTCATTCATTAAGCCTCGTCCCCAGTCCTTAAATTTTCCCAGTTTAGCAGTCTACTACAAAAAGTTAAATGTTTAAATAAGTAACTGTGCATGTGTACTTCAGCAGTTACAGTCACTGTCTGTATTAATTCAGTTATTTATCTATTGCTGACATATTGTATCGTATATATTTTCAAGGCCAGTTCACCACAGAGCTACTTAAAGTAAAAAACGATTATTACTATTCCTGTGTTGATGTTTTGTTCTCAAGTAGCCGTGTAGTTACATCTTTGGTAACTAAAAGCTCAAAAAGTAAAAGAAAAAGAAAAGATATCGTCATTGACCCTCACAGTGAAACAACACTTACATGTTCTTGTACATGTCCAAAGGACAAAAACATCATGGGCACTTTCAAATCTGCATTAACGTCATGAATTTGCTTTGTTACAAATAAGTATGTGTCAATACTGGCATTTTCTCTGAGATTATACAAACCCAGAAAACCCGCAAGAATCATGACTCATCATACGTTTACTAATATTTTACCTAAGCCTGTATTTTTTTCTCCTTGCGTGGTTATAGTTTATAGCACATTATCGCACTTCCTGGTCCATAATTATTAGAGGAAACCAAATTAGTTGAGAAAAGCTCTTTCATAACTCAGATAAAACCAGACAGAATGCTTCTGTATTTATTGCAGTCTGTGAAATACTGAAGGCTCACATGTTTGTGTCGGACAAATACAGAAAATACACTTTGTAGTGCATAGTCGGTGTTCAGCTGCAGAATCTAAGAAGATTCAATAATGCTCAGTTGAAGACCAGACTCACCAGACTCATGTCCCAAAACTGTTGAAAAACAATCTGTGTGTCTTGGCGTCTGAAGCCTGAAAGGTTGAAGAAACATTATTGTGTTGTTATAACTTTAGTAACTACAAACTCCAGACATGGAGATAATCTCTTTACTGTCATCAGAACGTTTTTGTCAGGGATAATTTGACTGTTCGAGTGACTCTGCTGGCTTTTCTCCTCAGGGTGGCTGAGCTGGTGACCCACATCCGCATCCAAAACACAGGAGACTTCTACGACCTATACGGTGGGGAGAAGTTTGCCACCCTGTCTGAGCTGGTTGAGTACTACACGGCAGAGAACGGCATTCTGCAGGACAAAGATGGCACCGTCATCGAGCTCAAATACCCGCTGAATTGCTCTGACCCCACCACAGAAAGGTGGGTTCACTCTTACCTCCACCCTTGCTTTTTAACCCCCCTCTGACTTCTCTGAGCCGCCTCCTCGTACACTATATGTAACACTACTTTATTAGGTGGTTAAATGAACTTCAGTCGACTAGTTGACGATCACTATTTCCTCTTACATTTAGTTTCCTGGGGTTAATTAGTCCCATTTGTAGGTTTGATATTCTGTCGTGTTGAAACATTTTCCTCTGGGGTGGGAGAGTGTTTTCATTTGAAGCTGCTTTTGAATAATTCTGGTGTAATAGCATCTCTGTCAGATTGTGAGTCAGTGAATACAAACACCCACATTCGAGACAAAAAGAGCCCACAACTGTCGAGGCTTCATTCTTCTCTCTGCATCGGTGCTGTAGCTCGGGGCTTACAACTGTGGTTTTCTTGGAGGTTTCCAGTTCATGAGACTACTGTATATGTATTTTTACTTTTACTGCTGCATTACAGACCTTTGTTTTTAGTCATGATCTCCTCCAGACATGTTGTAAGACTTAAATAACAGGTATCTGATCAGGATTTACCACAAAGAAGTCAAATTACCGAAACTTGTAGGTTCTCATTTTAATCCAAAATGATCCACAAATACTAAAATAGAACACATTTCAGTGATTTAGCTGCTTAAAAAGAGATCTCCTACTTATCTGGAGAAGGTCAGTATCATTAGCTGCACATTTGTAAAATGCATCTCCAAAGTACTTCTGAAATCCCTAATTTAAGCTCGTTCATGCACATGTTAAATCCAGATTTAGGAGTACAGAGAAACTTTCTCTCTTCAGCTGAATAATATGGGCTAAAAACAAAAAACAACATTCTGCTGTCTTAGTTTGCACATCTTCTCTGCAGAGTGACTGTCAAATTGCCAAAAGGTTTCACAAGTCATTTCCAGAAAAAGGAAACAGCAGCGTTTCAATATTTAATGTGAGAACCTGCTTCTTTCATTCATTTACAGTACTCCCCTTCTAATCCTCAGGGGAAGTATGGATCCTTTTTACCTCAGGACATTTTCTCTACTGGCTGTCTGTCAGCTGTAATTAATGGTCACGGTGGAAATCAATATTGTACATTCAACCCTTTAAAACAAAAAGGAATTTTATTAGAAGATTTTGTAGCATGTAAAATATTACTGCTGTTAGTTTATATTCCAATTCCTAAACATTTTGGGTTTTTATGGTAATTACTCTATTAATAAAATATTTCAGTACCGGACTTGTGACTAAACATATGCCAAATGTAGTTGATTTTGAAATGTATTTAATCGTGATACGTCTCGTTGAACAACACTGTTATTTATAAGAGTTTGCTCTTTCATCTAGATTTACTGTAGCTTGAAAACCCGTCTGAGCTCTCTGTATCTTGCAGCATCTGTTTGCTAAAAACAGCTGTGTGGTCGCTATATAGTTCTATTTTAGTGTATCTTTACATCTGTGTCCACATGCAGCGTCCTCAACATCAAAGGCTAATCTGATCAAATAAATCTATTTTCTGTTTGCCTACAGCAGGTTTTTAATGACCCTGTGATGTTGACGTTTTATTCTAAGTTTCTCACATTGCGCATCTCACACTGCAGCTGTAGGTGGTGTTATGTTGTTAATGCACTGTGCCACTGTAGGCTGCTAAAAGTAGGTTAATGTCTTACCTATAGTGAGTAATCAACGTTATTAAGGACACTACTTTTCTAGTGTGTGTGTGTGTGTGTGTGTGTGTGTGTGTGTGTGTGTGTGTGTGTGTGTGTGTGTGTGTGTGTGTGGTGTGTGTGTGTGTGTGTGTGTGTGTGTGTGTGTGTGTGTGTGTGTGTGTGTGTGTAACTTGTAGCTTGAAGCGCTACCCTCTGCCCCCCCTCGTCCTTCTCTCTCTGTCAGTTGTTTAACTTCCCTTTTGTTTCTGCGGTTGGAAACTTTAAGTTTTGACACTTTTGAAAGCAATGGCCAGACCCTTCTCATCTTCCTCTATTGCACACTCTATCATGTTCTTGCTCACTTACTGTCTTCCTCATCACACCCTAATCTCACCGTCATCTCACAGTTTTATAATCAACACCTCACCAGGTCACCCTGGGTTTGCATTTGTTCTTAAGTTTCTGAGAGCTCATCACTTCTCAGGAATATTCTCAGGTCATTATCTGGTTGCCATTGTGTCACAAATGAATTCACATATAGCCTCCCATACTGACAGCATTATTATTTAGTTTATCTTATGCATGGTTGAATTGTTCTCTTAAACATGTTTAAATACTTAAAATACTTTGCAGTTTTTCCTGCACAGTTTTTCCTCTGCACATACTGCTTGCAAACTTCTGCAATTGTGCACAGAAACGACCTTTTTCTGTTTTTCTCTTGTTTTAAGTAACCCGATGCTATTGAAAAACCATCATGTGGTGCACAATATCAGTTGCTCTAAATATATTACACACAGTTTACACATTGCTATAAAAGCATAAACTGTGATTTGACAAGTAAGTAAACCAAAAAACTGAGAAAAAAAAAGTAGTAAAGCGTGTGCAGAAGGCTTAACTAGAGCAGTGTGGGGTGGGGGAGGTGGTGCAGGGGGGTGTCTGTGGATGGTGCACGGGGAGGGGGGGGCGGGGGGGTTGGGGGGCAGTCTATAAATACTTTGTCCTTTTCAGCCACGAAATCTGTCATCAGAAATTTTCCAACCGCAAAGCAGGAAGTTCAGCAGAAGAAATCGAGAACTGTGCCTAAAATTAAGTCAACCCGATCACAGGCTGCATTCACCAAGTCACACACGTTCCACAAACACAAACACACACAAATACGGTTTGACAGCGAATAGAAATATCATCTGTGTGTAACAGCAACTTCTGAACATGCTATTTTAAACCCTTCACCTAACGTGCCTAATTCTGTCGTGGCTTTCTATTTCTACTCAGAGAACCGTTCACACAACAGTCCAGTGCGACCACATCAGGGAGTGTCAGCAACCGTTCATCTTTAATGAGCTGATACAGTCGCTCAGAGCTCTGACAGTAATCTGGTCAAGCTGTCGTCAAAGTCAATTCATTAATAAATGAATTAAGAAAAAAGAGTTTGGACATGTAAAGGACATTCATCAAGAGTTTAAAAATAGATTTTAAAAAGGCCGGCTGTTTTCTCTGAAGAGTCCTTTTAATAGTTTCACAGTTTTGTTGCCTTTAAAGTTTTTATAGACACATGTTCATAATTCAGACTCTGCTACATAAAATTTAATGTGTCACAGCCGCACACAGACTGATGACATCACAAGAAAAAAAAAAAAAGACACCTTTCAAGAGTTTAAAAATAGATTTTAAAAAGGCCGGCTGTTTTCTCTGAAGAGTCCTTTTAATAGTTTCACAGTTTTGTTGCCTTTAAAGTTTTTATAGACACATGTTCATAATTCAGACTCTGCTACATAAAATTTAATGTGTCACAGCCGCACACAGACTGATGACATCACAAGAAAAAAAAAAAAAGACACCTTTTTCTTTTGACACCTGCATTAATTTATACGATGGAGGATTAAATTATTAAATGAACGAGTTCGAGACCAGCCTGCGTGACAATTAAATGAATGAAAGTTGAACTCTGTACTTTCCTCTGCAGACAACTTCCTCCAAGTCAGTGTGGTTCTTTCTTCGGAAAAGCCACAGTTTCTTGCAGTATCTTTTCATGGTGCTGATATTTTATGACAATGTGAAGATAATTATGTGCCAAAAGCATTTGTAGTTTCATATATGCATAAGTAAAGCCCCAACACAACTATTTGTGTCTGTTATCGGTCTGCCTTGTTAAAGTGTCTCATGTGCAGAGACAGTTTGTGTCCTGTTCATCATTTTACAGATAAACAAGGTCTTGCAAGTTGAAGTGAAAACTTCTCTTGAAATTTAGTGAAGTGAAACCTTTAGGACAAGATGCTCCATGTTTGTCATTTGAGAACAGGATGCTGCTACTCTTCTGATCTAGACTAAAATAACGACTTTATTCTTTAAAGACTTTAAGAGTTCTAATTTACGACTTTAATCTCGTAAATTTCCGATTTTAATTATTATTATTTTTTTAACATGGCCCTGATCCTCCGTTGTAAATTTACCTAAACGATCAAACAAAAATATGATTTAAAACATGAATAATAAGCAAAGATGAAACGATAGAATATTTTTCTGTTTAAGTCTGAATTATCGTTCCATAAGATTCATGAAGTTCTAATATTCTCAGCATTCGACATAACCTCAGGGCAAGACTGTCTTTAGAACTAACCCGTATACCTTCTTGCTTCTGTGTCTCAGGTGGTACCACGGTCACCTGTCCGGGCCCAATGCAGAGAAACTGCTCAGTGCTCGAGATGATTCGGGGACATTTCTTGTCCGAGAGTCGCTGTCCAAACCTGGAGACTTTGTTCTGTCGGTTCTGACAGATGAGAAGAGCAAAAGTGGAGGAAAGAGGGTCTCCCACATCAAGATCATGTGTCAGGTGGGGCTTTTACTTGTTTCAGTGTGTTACTCTGCATTTGTGTAGAGTGCAAGATACATATAGGGGCGGCTGTGTTGCTCCCGCTGCTTCAGTGGTGGTGTATGAATGGGATTAGTTACTTCTGATGGATGATACTACATCGCGATCACTACCATCAGTGTGTGAATGGGTGGGTGTGACAGGCGGTGTAAAAGCGCTTTGAGTAGTCGGAAGACTAGAAAAGCGCTATATAAGCTCAAGTCCATTTACCATTTACATATGTGCATGAAATGAGTGCTTTGTATCTGATTAGTTCTTTGCTTTCAGAGTATAGAATCAGCTCTTTGATTAATTTTCACGTCCCCTGATTTATTCAATAAAAGCAGTTGCAGCTCTGCTATTGTTAATTAATGTTAAAACATGTTCACATGCCCATCAGGTACAAAACCCTAACTACAAAAGACCTGAAACCATAATAATCATCTTCTGACGTTATGACGTGTTCATCAACCCCCGCTCAACAGCACCTCTCATTTTCATAGATATCATCACAGTCTTTGCATTTTTTATTTTTAGCAGTGGTTCACCTCATAGAAAACAGCGCTCAGGCCTCATTTAAATGTGAGCCATTGTTTTTGTGCAGAAGATTAATGTGAGATTACTGGAACGGTTACAAAGGCCTTTTCATGAACACGTGGCAAAGATCAGGTGAAATTTCCGTACTCTGCTCTCCCTTCAGAGTCTGTTCACGGCAGTCGCGACTAAATCTATGAGAAGATATATACATTTACAGTCACACCTGTTGCATGCAGGAAATTAATCTTGTGGCCCACAAAGCGTTATTTCTTCGATATAAGTTCTTGAAAATTTCCACCACAAAAAAATGACCTTTTTCCTACATACATACAGGTAATATAACTCCGTCGGTTTTTTTAATTGTGTGTGTTTGTTTATGTTATTCACGAATGAACATTTTTGGAGCTATCATGCTGTTTTCTTTAACAAAAATATTTCAATAAATTAATTACAAAGATTTATTCCCATTTACATTAAAGGGGCTTCACTTAACAAATACCTTGCTTATCCCTTTTTTTTAATCAAATTACTCTTGTTTGAATTTTGTGGCATGGTCATTTTTTAGTTTTTCTTTTCAATACTTTTTCTGTATCCTCATCAGAAAATATACCTCAGTGATATGTTGTATTTTTTGTGTGATATGTTGTATGTTTTGTGTGATATGTTGTATGTTTTGTGTGATATGTTGTATGTTTTGTGTGTGTCCAGAACGACAGGTACACAGTGGGATGTTCAGAGATGTTTGACACGCTGACAGACTTGGTGGACTTTTACAGACGCCAAGGCATCGAGGAGATGTCGGGGAACTGGGTGTATTTAAGACAGGTGAGCTGGATTTTATGTGATGTGACGGATTAATTCAGATGTCATTTCATTGCACAAAGTCAACAAAGTGAATGTCAGTAAGCTGTAAATGAAATAAAAACTCTCTTTGTGGGTTATTTTAAAAGGTAAGATGCACAGCACACAGATAGGAAATATAACACCTCTGAGTGTCTATTAACGTGGACATGATAATGTTGTGCATTATATTCATGGTTGTATTATTTCACCTCTGTTATAATATTATAATATTTATCTACTTTTGATCTCTTTGTTTCTGTCTTCCTTGCAGCCGTATTACTCCACCAGAGTGAACGCAGCAGACATCGACAGCAGAGTGAGACAGCTGGATGAGACTGCACAGCAGCTGAAGGAGGGCGAGGGAGAGAAGAACAAGGCGGGCTTCTGGGAAGAGTTTGACGTAAGATTTGAGTCAACAGCCTTGAATATTTTTAATACAACTGCTTCTTACCATGATGCTTGATTTGTGGTATAAGAACCTCTGTAATACATTAATCATCTCGTTACTAAGAAACTACAAACATTTATAAGCCTTTAAACTCTTCACAGTGATAGAAAAAAAACAACTAGAGTGATAAATACTATCATCTTGTGGTGGGGGAATACGCTAAATGTCACAAGGCGGTATTACATAATGTTTCTAAGCAGGCTTTAAAGCGGTGTGGGTTCAAGCTGACCATATTAACTCAACCTCTCATCATGCAAACTAAAAAACACTTTCACTGAGAGGAAATGGGACATTTAATTAAAATCAGTTGCAGGTTGTTTGGCTTAAAAATGGCAAAGAAAATGTATTTTCAGATTGCACATTTAATGACAAGTTAACTCAAATGTGCTTAAAATGGAAAACAAAATTAAAGTTATAAACATGACAACAACGGGGACATACTCAATATAAAAAGCAAAGAAAGTAAGCATGAGTATGTGCAAAGACATACACAAAAGTACACACTGCTGTGGGGATAAAGAGAAAAACTATTTATAAAATGTTTTAAATCTATAAAATCTTGACATCTGAATTTTTTTTATTACAAATTCCAATTCATAGTCTTCATACACAAGACAGCTTGAAGCGAACTGAAGCTCAATACAAACTGGGGTTTTCATGCACATGCTTTATGTTAGATTAAGTTATTTTAAAGTTGTTGGTATTGTAACTATTTTGGCTTGCTTTTCAGCACATGCCATCTCAGTCACTAGTATTTTCTTAATCACTAAGGCCCTCTGGGAAAAATTCCCACCTACTTATCCTCTCTCGTAATCTTGAAGGATGGAAACCAAGACCTCCGTTCTCTGGACGTTGTGCAATTCATTTCCAAAATCTGCACTGCATTGGGAAGAAATGCTTCAAGGTTTTCTGCACCTGCTGCAACGAACAATCTCCAGACTGATCATTAAAAACATAATTTAGAACCTCTGAACACTTTTAATCTGTTATGAGGTTTTGATTAAATGAATTAATTCATCAATATAAAAAAAATTACCCTCTCCTTGTCATGGCGTGCTATTCAGACTACAACGTTACAGTTGGATTGACTTATGTAATACTTTCTCGAACAGCAACAGATTCTGTTTGAATTAGAGGATAAAATCAGAGTGTAATATCAGTGCAGAGAATATGTAGAAACAGAATATATAACACCGATGTCTCTTTCTCCCACCAGGCTCTTCAAAAGTTGGAGGCGAAGGTGAAAAAGAGCCGAGAGGAGGGCCAGAGGCCTGAAAATAAAAGCAAAAACAGATACAAGAATATTCTTCCCTGTGAGTTTTTCATTTTCTCAGTACCACTATTATCTAAGTTAACCAAATCCTATGAGTATATTCAAGTTTTTATTGCACTGACGTTAACCAAACGTTTTTGTTCTGCATCTTACCCACGGTTTCCTCCCTCCGTCTTCTGGTTTCCTCCAGTCAATGACACCAGGGTGGCCCTGCAGGACACTGATCCTGATGTCGTAGGTTCGGATTACATTAATGCCAACTACGTGAAAGTAAGTATCCAGAGTCCCCGACTTCATAGTGTCACAAAATGATATCAGTACATTAAACAAAACTCGCTGTCATTGTTGTGTGTTTGTAGAACACCCTGTGGGAGGCTGCAGTTCCGAAAATGTACATTGCCACCCAGGGATGCCTTGCAACAACTGTCAACGATTTCTGGAAGATGGTTTGGCAGGAGAACACGAGGGTGATTGTCATGACAACCAGAGAGGTGGAGAAAGGCCGGGTCAGTACCAAAACACTCATGACAGCAGATTTGGATATTAAGCACATCTTCATATCTCTAAGTATTGAAGTTATTTCTCTGCACCTTTAATGACATTTCAACAAGAGATAACTTCCCTCTTTGAAGGGTCACACAGTGTTTGTCATTTTATTGGAGAGTCTGGCCTGTAGTTCCCTGTAGTATTTGATTCAGGTGCACAGTAAATATCACACTCAGAGATGACATTAAAGTCCTTCTTCTCTGAAAGGTTTCCAAGGCCTCAGACCCACAGTGGTTCATTTGAATAATTGCAACACAAGAGTCTGATTACAGACCTGCACAGCAGTGAGCTTTTATGTCTCAGTGTTTAGAGGATGTAAATGATGAAAAGGTGATAACATAAATATTAACTTTCAACCTTTTAGACCAGAATATGACGTAAGTTCACGTTTTAGATTATTGTTCTATACTAGAGTCAGTGTTGTACACGACTTCAAACTGCTTCATTTCACTACTACACACTACTAACATCTCAGAAGGAGATATTCAACTTTATACTCCACTAAGTTTGTTTTTACATCTGTAGTTTTTGTTTGCTAGCAGATTTCAAATGTTCACACCTTTTCCTGTTCAGTGAAAACCGTGTCTTTCCACATTTGGGGATTTGTGTTGTAAATGTGTGTGATAAGATTAAAGATGTAGTGTCCCTTTCAAAGTAGTGAAAACTCTCGCACCTCTCATAGAAATATAGAACAATAACCCTTCTTGGATCAGCTGTAAAATGAATTATAACAAAGCTTAATGAAGTTTTTTTTGGACGAGGACAAACATATAAAGGTCTACCAGAAGGTTTAGTGGTAGATTAAATCACCTGACAGCATAATGAGAAGAAGAGCTACCTTGAACAAACATTATTATTCACATTAAAGCATTATGCAAACGAATTCAATGATGTGAGTTTGAATGTGAGTATTTTCACTGTGTAGTATTGATTTTTTAAAAATTAAATTCAAATACAGATCTGAATACTTTTACCACATCTGATGTAACCTGCCAGAGGACCTGAGATGCCGTGTCTTTCTGACCTTTAGAGTTGACATAGTTATAAAGTTAGGTGGAGTTCAGTAAGCTCAATGTATTCCCATTGTGACAAACACCTTGATGAGTTCCCCTAAACAGTGCAATAAGACACAAAGGAATATTTTCAGAGCAACATAAAGATGAAAAGCTTTGAACGTGTACATGAAGTGAACTCAGCAGATTACGTTTGTAATAACTTGATTTATTTTTGACTTGATTTCAGAATAAATGTGTGCCGTACTGGCCCGACCCTGACTGCTCCAACGAGTTTGGTCCATACGTGGTGAAGTGTCAGTCAGAGAGGGAAGCTGCAGATTACAAAGTCCGAGTTCTGGAGATGGCTTCTTTGGACAAGGTTTGCTTCTGCAGCCCTGTTAGGTTGAACTTTAAGCAGGATTGTCTACATTATTACATTTCTGAATAGTTTTTTTCCCTTTTTTTTCACAGCCTAAACATTCTCGTACCATTTGGCACTATCAGTACATGAGCTGGCCTGACCATGGCGTCCCTCAGGAGCCGGGTGGCGTCCTCAGCTTCCTCACTCAAGTGAACACCAAACAGTCTGAATATCCCGCTGCTGGACCCATGATCATCCACTGCAGGTACCACAAGGCTAGAGCACACATTTTTCATGAGACACGGCTGAAGGCCTAGTATAATGATATAAAAACATAATAATAATAATAGTGTGGTGGTATAATTCCCTTCTTTAGAAAAAATAATACTGATTAATCAGTCACTAAAGATGTCGTAAAAAGGATCAAATATACCAGCGCACTATGCATCACGGACAAATCCAAACAGTAAATATTCTCAGTTAAAGTGAAATCTCATTTGAAGATGGGAGGGGTCTCAGTTTAACAAAATGTTTTCCAGATGGTGGCTCACATCACGTTTCAGGGATCATAAATCTTCAAAATAAACAACAGAGTATGTGTTCTTAGATCTGTTTTAGTGTGACATTGGATCCAAATAACAACAAGGCCAGGTTTGGTAATCAAAACTCAGGATGTAACACTCAGAAGTTTTAGATTAAGGTGATCATATTTTCAGGATTAAGATTAGTAGTAGCTGAACAAAAGCTTTAAAGTCAACTGACGGGTTATCCATTTGGAATTTTGCCCGTGTGATGTGAGGGATACTGAGGCCGCGTGCTGTTTGTTGATGACGCTCGTGTAAGTGTTTTTGGTATGTTAGCATGTTCACAACAAAGTCTCAATCTCACTAACATGATCTCTCAGGGTTCCTCTTAACACAACTGTTGTGACATTTGACATTTGACCCCTTAAAGTGGGAAAACATTTACTTACAACCCAACTTCACAAGTTTCATATGTCACAATGATAAGCAGAGTGATATATTCTTCTATATATATATATTCTTTTTTCTTGTTTCTCATCTTATGCAGCATGATGTAATGTTTTGTCCACCAGAACAGTATCAGAACATTTTTTTATTAATTTAACACTGTACCTGGTAAACATGAGTGTGGTAAACTGGAAGTTGTACAAGTACCTTTAGTGCTGTAAGAGTTACTAGAAGAGTAAAACTAAAAGAGTTACTAACTGTGTTTGCTCTGTAAATGTTTACAGCGCTGGGATTGGTCGAACAGGCACCATCTTGGTGATTGACATGATCATCGAGACCATTGACACTATTGGTAAAACATTTTTTTTTAAATACCAGTTTATATTGACTACAAAACACAACCGTTACAAATACAGCTACACGATTAGATTTTTCCCATGCTGCCTCCATCCAATATGTTCTTATCTGACTTCCCTCTGCAGGTCTAGACTGTGACATTGACATCCCCAAATACATCCAGATGGTGCGAGAGCAGCGCTCTGGCATGGTGCAGACAGAAGCTCAGTACAAGTTCATCTATCTGGCTGTTTCTCAGTACATTCAGACCACCAAGGCCAAAGACTGTGCTTACATGGTGAGCAACAAACACAGAAAATCCAGGAATAACACCAAGACAGACTACTGAATACACCACTGATAAGAGTTTTTTTTGGCTGAAGTACAGATAAATACAAGGAAGACAGGAGCGTTTACAGCAAACTAAATAGAGATATGTGTGTCAATAGGCCTTTGCACTTTTGATTGCTGATTTGAACACCAGATTTAACCCTATTGAATGCTAACAGAATGATATGTTATCACTGGTGAACGTTGACCCCGAGACAAAAGAAAACAACCTTTTACACAGACAACACCAGCCATGTGACTGCTTTGTGTTCGAGAGATCCTCCAGTCATCTCTGAACAAATCTCTGTTTCTCTCTTCCACAGGAAGCTGACACAGAGTATGGAAATCTGCAACTCAAACACCAACCAGCCAGCAGGAAGGTCTCAAAGTAAGTGAGGCGGTGTGTGTGGCTGTATGGCACAAAATGTGTGTGTGTGTGTGTGTCTGTGTGCGCGTGCAAATTGGATGTCTCTCAAACATTCACATCGCCCCTCTGAACCTCACACTGTCGCCCTACTTTCTTTTTAGAAAATATGACTTAGTCAGTGTCTTTCGCCTCATGTCAGAGAGAAGGAGGTGTTAGTGGAGGGAGGATGCATTCAAGTAACAGATGGACCCCACGAAAGTTTCATGATTTAGATTTTTACCTCCAAAATACACTGCAATGAACAAATGTTCCATAACACATTATTTACCATTTCATTGAGTCATAAAATAATGTTCATATAAAAAACACGGTTTGCTGTTCCGATTTGACCTCAAGGTGCTAAAGGCCATTAATTAAATCCAACCTGTGCATAAAATCTGATTACTGTAAGAAGCACAGAGCTATTGCTACATTGAATGATGGTATCAGATTGTACTGCTACCTTGTTCTTTACAGGTAGCTCTAAAACTGGATCAGCATGACGCAATTTCTAAGAATTCAATTTTTTTAGTATAGTCCAGACTGAAGTTACTCAATAACGGCCGTATAGATTGCCTGGATTTCAACGTTTTTTCTCATCCCTAAATACATATATATATATATATATATATATATATATATATATATATATATATATATATATATATATATATATATATATATATGTATAAACATTTTAGATAAATTGGCATGAAATGTGCATAAAAAAGAGCCTGTTGTCACACACACTACAGTAGCACTGCTTCTGCTAAGTGTCCTCTCTCAATCTAAATCCAGCATAGCTTTGTTTATTTTGGGGGGAAAGCACATTAATCAGCATTTCTGTTAATATGAGTGCCAGTGTAAGCCAGCTTGCTAATTTTCCACTGCAGACCTTTGTCCCAATGTTTTGAAACCATTAAGGTGCTTATGCTGGCATGAAACAGTTCAGGATATCAGGGCATCTGAGGCAATCTGAGCGTTTATCTCTGAGAGCATTTCTCAGCAGGAGTTTTCATGAAACTTGAGGCAGAGACGAGGAAATGTATAATTTCTATGTTGTTAAAGCGGCACTCCAGTAAATTATTATGGCACTTCAATACACATTTATGACTCATTCATAACAACAGAATACACACAGATCAGAATTATAAAACCCTTTTTACACAGAGGATCCACCACAGCGCCGTAACAAAGCTGCTGCTGTCTCTCCACTTTAGTATTTTTACAACCAATAAAAACCTTCATATTGGTGTCCCGGTGCGTGATTTTTCATCGCCGCTGTGGAGGCAAAAGAGGCATCACATGTCAACAAACAGCATGAGCTTTACACACACATGGTGCTGATACACTTCACCTTTGTTCTCACCTGTTGTTTCGTCCGATGCGTTACAAAGGCTTTGCCACTGTTTTGACAGACAGAGAGGCGTACCAGAGGCCTGACGGTCCTGTCTTAAACAGGCTTTGTTATAGAGGAGTCATAGTCTCTAGTTCGGGTCAAGCTCCAGAAAATGCTGGATTCTATCATTCCTGTAATAACAATTACATTCAGAGTGATTGAATGGGATTTCAAACTGTCTTTGAATCACTGAAAACATGACACATAACAAAGACATTTAGATATCTGGGCTGTTCAGCACTTTGGATCGACTGTGTTGTGTGTGATGTTCTATATAAATAAAGTTGAGGGTTTCTGCGCCTCCTAATTTTGACCACCTCTATCTCTGGTCTATTGTTTGAATACATTTTTGTGACCTTTGAGCCAGGACACCCCTCATGTACGACCTGAGCAATACTCAAATGAAGTAGTCAGCAGAGATCAAACAGGACACTGGACAATTCAGCCCTCAAACACTGTGAACTTTGACCCACTTTGGCCCACTTGCAGGGCTGAATAGATGTCTGCCAGCTTTGAGTGATTGATTCATGGTTGGTTGCTCTGTTTAAAACTGTTCTCATGCAGATGGCTCGTTAATTAACCTCTCCAGTGTCTGAGAATCACTTCTAACTAAGCTGTGTCTAATGAATGGTGACCGCTTTATTAATAAATACAGGACCGATGAAAGCACTAATCAGCTTTTTCTATTTCCAGAAACACAGAGGACGTTTACGAGAATCTGTCCAAAGGAAAGAAAGATGTGAAGAAGCAAAAATCAGACAAGAAAAGTGGCTCAGTGAGGAAAAGATAGAAGAGACTGAGCATATTTACCAAAGTACGTCATGTTTTATATTTAAGCAGGCACTGTTTTATGGAGGCTTTTATTTGAGTGGAAAAAAAACCCCAAATCAGGTGTGAAATCAGAGAAACGATAATGTTATGTCTTCTGAAATGTCCCATGAATGCTTGGATGCATTTGATGAAAATAAAGCCTTCCTTATTGCAAATCCTTGTTTGTTTTTTTAATTGTCTGTTTTTGTTGTTGGGCGAGTAAACCAACATCATTTAGAAAGCTTTGATATTTTGAATGGAAGCTTCTTTGAATTATCAGCTCTCTCTCGCTCACTTTAAGATGATGTAATCCTCTATCGAAAGTCTCAAACCTCAATTCTGTATCTTGTTGTATTTTCATGAAACAGACAGTGACAGTGATTGATTTTCCACCGAGGATGAATAAAGTATTTCTGATTCTGATATACACAACTTTGTCTGGCTATGTATTTAATAAAGAAAACATCAGCATAAACAGCAACCTTTGTGAGATTCTACAGATAAGGCTGTACATCTCTACTGATCCTGTCCTGTGGTACCTGTGTGTGTGAAAAATCTCTGAAGAAAAACCTGCTCCTGCTTCTTTTTATCTTGCTAACGTGCCGCTCACTGCCAAACTTTCCGAGGGAAGAATGTAAACAAAGGCTCCTCTGTTTGCTCTCAGTAAATCTCTTCATCTGGATCAGACCCGATTACAGCACTGACGACCAATAACTATTATTTGTACTGCAGGTTGAATGGAGGCATCCATCTTACGTTGAGACTGTTTCATAACAGCTGAACTTAAGTGTGTTCATAGCTTAGCATTCTGAGAGGCAGCATGATTCTAGTTCAGCTGAACTACAGTTTAATGATAACAGAGTTAATGTTAGAAGAGGGATGGATTCACTTTTCCCTTAATTAATTTACAGGAACTCAGGAATGGACTTTAAACTTTATTTTTTAAGTCTATATAGGCCTAAAGAACCAAATCATTTTTATATAATCATCAAAATCACAATTTGTTGCTTGACCTCCAGTACAGTATGAAAGGTTAAAAAAAAAATCTTCTCCTTTATAAGCTGCAAAATCGAAGTGATACACTGATTGTTTTCATATTTAAATTAACTTGAACAATATTGTAAATCTCAAGTAGGCCATGCTGCATGTTTGCACTTTTAGAAAAACTGAGATGCTTAAAATTCCACTTAAGGCTCCAGTGAGGAACTTACGTACCTCTCTTTTTGTTAACATTGTCCTTTACATATACGTGCTGTTTGGAGCAGCGTGCAGTCAATCACCAGAGCCACTTACAGATTGCAGTTCTGCAACAGTTCTGTCATCAGTAAGCCCAATTTGTATTTACACATTGCATCCATAACAACATAACATTGGTGTCCCAGTGTGTGAATTCATATTGCATTATGACGTTGCAGAATGCAGATAGGGAGCGCATAAAGGCATGGCAGGTAAGCACACAGTGGAAGCTCCACATACACAAATAGTTAGGCATGCACACACACACACACGGCGCTGTTCCCGCTTTGCAGGAGGAATGACTTTAGGCCTTTTCAGAGTGCAATACCACAACAGCGCTGTGTCGAAGCTCTTCCGTCATTATGTGTTTCTATATTCATTATTACGGTGTTACAGTGTTACATCACATTGCGGCATTATAGAAGCTAGTGTTTGGAGAAACAGCTGAAACTCCACATACACCCACATGCAGATATGAAGCGCTGTTCTCACCCCGGCAGGCTCCATGGATACTGTCTGTTAGCCCCTGTACGCCTTACGGTTAGACTAACGACACCGGTGAAGAGAATACAATACAAGAAACACTGAGGACAACTACAAACTAAATCATGAAACACTAAAGACACGCAGAACTCAAGAATGCAACATTACAAAGAATACACATTGGGACAAAGAAACACAGGAAACATAAACTGAAAATACACACTACATAAGACCAAATCATGACACCTACATAACTAGGCCTATCTAGAATAAATCAATCCTTCCAAAGGTGGACCTACAAAGACCAATTGTACATCAATTTCATTCTGTTTCATTAATAGTAGATATTAATAAAACATTAATAAAGATACATTTGAATACAGGTCTGTCTTTTCCTGGAGTTTTCCTTCTTTTATTGAAAGCAAAAGCAGCAAGTACTTAGATGGGCCCACTGGGCTGTTAGCACTACTATATTTTCATTTAGTCTGCTACATTTTCGCCCCCACCTCGCCACATGTTTCAGTGCCCTGAAGCCCCGCCCCTTCTGCAACTGATCCCTGTGAGTAAATCTTTAGAGGAGATCCACGATCCTCCCCCCTGCATGTGTTCCTGCAGAAAAACTCAGAGCAAAGGCTGACTCACAGCTAACTGCAAACACTTCCCCCAAAACCTCTTGTGGAGTCTGCACCCGAGAAGAAGAGTAACCAAAGGTCTGCGAGCCTCAAACACCGTCAAGTCAAAAGACAGCTACATTTCAAGGCGCATTCCTGTAGATCTTGTCTGAAGAAGTTGCGTAAGTGCAACTGATATCAAATCGGGCGGCAGCTGATCTCTGGGATTCAGACTGGACTCGAAGAAAAAGTTCAAATTTCAGCCCGTTTGGAGTTTTGATAGACTAAAAATGTCGAAACCGAATTTCACTGGCACGTACCACATGATGGAGCAGGAGAACATGGACTCATACCTGGCAGCTTTAGGTAAGATCCAACTTTACACATATAAAGTTTGGATACCTTTATTTTGAAGGAGGTTAAAACATAACAATGGATTTGTCTTTGTTGTGTTTTTGGAGCAGAACACACACACACACACACACACACACACACAGTGAAAAGAAGGCTTCTTCTGTCGAGATGCTTGAAAAGAAAAACAATCTTATGAGATCAAAGAGACAAACTTTATGGAAAATGCATAATTTGTTGCCTATATTTTGGGTGTACAAAGACATCGTTTCTTTTCATATGACATTCAGGCTTTTCTTCCCATTTGTTTCTTTATATTTTGATCTATTGCTTTGACGCAATAATTTGAAGTCATCTTCAATCACTGATGTCATGCTGTGGCTCTTCCTCCTCTGCAGCTGCACATTCAAGTAAATGTAATCACCACCTCGTCCTTTACATGACCCCAAACGCACACACCCACACACCCACACTCAGGGGACATATTCAATGTCCGCACTCAGTGGGAGAGACCCTTTATATCAAGAAACTACAAAGCAGAGCTTGTTTTTATCATTCTTGTTCTTTTTATATCTTTTTTTTTTGTCTTTAGATATAAATTTTGCTCTGAGGAAGATTGTGTGTCTGCTGAGGCCCACTAAAGAGATCACCCACGACCCGGCTACAGGGTCCATGAGGATCCGCACCCTCACCACCTTTAAGAACTTCAACATGGATTTCACCATCGGGAAAGAGTTTACTGAAGATCTGGGCCCAGTAGACGGCCGAACCTGTCAGGTGGGTGTGCGTTTGTATCAGAATACACATATTAGCTTGTTGGGACAGGAGTTTGGCTCTTCTCATGAAAGGGACCATAAAGTATCATCACTTGTTATACAGGTTTGCTTTGTGTGGTAAAATCTGGAATGTGTAAAGAAAGCGGACCCTCCTGCGGCTTTGATTTTTTTGTTTGAAGTCGACTCACTGCTGCTTACATCCCAACTTCAAGCAACAATGAGTTATGTTTGTGAGAAAGAGAAAGCAACGAACACCAAAACCTCTACAAGTGCAAGAATGCAGATTAGCAGTTAACCTGAAAGTGTATCCAAACCAAAAAATGGAACAAAAACAAGCAATGAAAAAAAGGTTGTGAACCAATGGGCAGCCTTTGCACGGAACAAAGACCTTGTGGTCCAGCTTGAGAGCTACTTTACATACTAATAGCACACAGTGACCCCGCATCTCTGCTTTTTCTTCTTTTTCTGCAGACGACAGTGAGCTGGGACGGTGCGAACCTGGTTTGTGTACAGCGAGGAGAGAAAGACGGAAGGGGCTGGACTCACTGGCTGGAGGGCAACAAGCTGCATTTGGTAAGGATGTGTACGGATGGAGGAAAAAAGCAGACCGAGGGGGGAAGTAGGGGAAACGGTAGAAGGAAAATGCAAACCTAAAAGGAAAAGATGCTAAAATTGATATGCTAATTGAGGGAAATCATGAAAATCAGGCAAGTGGTAGTTCTTTATTGCTTTATTTGGTTGCTGTCTGTATTGGAAAAGTTTTGTATTTAAAGGTTTCTGGAGCCTAAAGGGAAAAAAACAACTAAAGGCACATAAGACTTTTGAATGCACGTCTTTAGAATCAAGTGTAGCTGTAACTCAGGACCCAGGGAAAGGATTTTCTTTCCTCGTTTGGGTTGTACGACAGCTTATAGATTAGTTTGTCAATGCTGATTAAGATTTGAAACAATCAGTATTGTTCCACTAAAGCGCTCTCTGGGATTTTCCTGAGTCCCCTGTGGCCCTCTGGACAAAGCAGTGTGTTGTTGATGTCCACATTCAGGAGAGTATTGGGAAAGAAATGCCAGCGAGGATCAGGCTTTTTAAAGGTTGCACAAAAGCAGAGAGAGGCTAATGAAGAGTGAGTGAGAGAGGAGTAAGGAAAGGGGGGTGGGGAAGACGGGGAGACGGATGGTGAGGTCAAAGGATGAGGAGAAAGGAGAGGGAGAAATGGGATTATGTTTTGGCTACAATCTCAGGTTTGTGTATCACTCATTGAATTCTCATTTGATGTGACAGGCTGTTTTAGTGATTCATTAAACGCCCCCTCCCCTTCCTCTCCTACTCTTCCCCCCCCCCCTCCTTCCTCTCTGCAGGAGATGAGAGTTCAAGGCATCGTTGCCAAGCAAGTCTTCAAGAAGGCTGAGTGAATAGCTGAACGAGGCTTTTGGTGAATGACTTCAATGTGTTCGTAATAGAATACATTTGAGAAATTGGTACAAGATTTGATTCATGTGAATCTTTTTTTTTTTTTTTTTTTGATAATCAACAATAATTTTGACTGAATTTCTGTCCATGTTGTTTCAGCCTGATGGTGCTAAGTGAGACCAGACCACAGAGGCTTGTGTAAACATTCCCAGCATACTCCCTTATATTGCACTATCTAGCTCCAGTATGTTATAAACAAATCATTCCTCAGTCTGTTGGGCGTCTTTGCTGCATCATTAACACATCATCATGTTTCAGATGTTTGTGGCATGTGAGTGGGTATAACTGCTGCATCCCTCTAAGTTTATATACAGCCATTTAAGTACAAGTATTTCACCCCTCAAAACTTCAAGTACAAAATACGTCAAAAGACATTTGATGGCAGACATTGCACTAGTTTACTGTGATAAATTAATTAAATAAAATATCCTTCATACATAATAACAAAGAAATAGCTTAGATTAAAGGATCATTCAGTTTCCTTCTTTTGTCTCATTTACAGTCTCTTCAGTTTCTTTTTTCTCAAAGTAGAACGATGTTGTGCTCTTGTTTTGTTCTCATCCTACGTGCTCAAACGAAAACTTTTTTTCTCCTGCATACATTTTTTCAAAAACAAGTCGTGTAGGTTTATTATTTTCAAAAGAAACTTTTTTAAAGCTGCTTAGAAATGCAGGTTGTTAGCAAATATTGGCCCATTTGTGGGTTGGGTTAATGTAATGTGAAAGAACAAATTGTCAGCAGCTAAACGTGGGAATGACTCAAAATAGACAGGTGTGTCTATCTGTATGGTTGTTAATTTACTCAGTGTAATCGGGTGGTTTAGTATGGAGACCCTGAAGTTCCAAAAAGTAAAAATGATTGAATTATTATGATGATTGATTAATTAACTTGTGTACACACATGTTTTTTTTTCCATTTTTGAACTTCAGGGTCTCTGTAGTTAAGTGATATAGTTTTTTCAACGTTGAATCTCCAGAGGAATACGCTACATCCAGCTACACAGACATTCATAAATGTACATGAGTTTTGCTTAAACTTAAAACAAAGTCAAGAATAAGATGAGACAGATAAAAAGGCATGAAGCGAAACATGGCAGACATCCCTGCCTTCACTTGATAAACTCCTTTTTAAGGACTTTTTGACATCGAAGAATCACCTCTCATTGTAAATATCACATAACTTGAGCTGAAGTTCTCTTTAACATCCTGCAGGGGGCAGTAAAACAATCGACCACTGTAATCTCTCCTCAAACAGAGAAACTCAAATCTCTAATCTCAGAGAAACTGTTTTTTCAACCCAGGATAAATAAATCCAGTTGCAAGATTAAAAAAATAGTTTTCATGGACTCTGAGCTCTGTCAGAGTCCTGTTATGACCCCTCAGTCCCACACCACTCGTCCTCCTGAGGCTCTGAGTGCGTCCTGAGGTAGTTTACCGCGCAGTATCCAGCACTTCCATTGCCCTGGCTTGATTCAGCAAAGGAAACCGAAGCCTTCAGTGGAGTTATAGGAAGGCTGCTGTCCACGCTGTCTTCTGTGCAGACACTGACCACATTATCATCTAAGAAGGAGAATAAAAATCAATGCCCAGTGTGATCATCTTTTAAATGAATGTGTAACTAAACCTACTTCTCTCTCAGTGAGGCTTGATTTAAGACCCAGCTGATGCGGCTGAAGCATTAACTAAATTAATACAGACCCAGAAGGAATACATTTATCACACTTAATGCATAAATTAAAAGAAAATCTGATATAGTGTTTGACCTCAGGCCAGCTTCAGTGCTCGTAGGCAGAGCTGCTAGACATCAGTCTACATACATCCTCAACCACTCTTTTATAAAGTTTATACCCTTAATCGTTATTTGGATATATATATTTTTTTAGCTTTTATCATCTCTCAGAATCCATTCAAAACTTGAAGTATTGGAGCAGAGAAATGCATGGAGCGGAAACTGTGAGAAAAAAGTCAGTGACTTTCTGAGATGACTATATGAGCAGACGTGGATGTACAGTATTCAGACTGTCCATACAGGTACAGTAATATTTAAGGGGGACTGGAACCAAAAAGTCGCTGATTTTTCTCTTTCATTTCTTAACTGAAAAAAAGAAGATCCAAACAGCACTTCAAACAGCAATTTAAAAACATGATGTGTTTGTTAGCATGCAGCAGTGTTCAGTGATTTATCACCTGTGGTAAAAAGCGGTAACTTGCAGCCCTCCTCCATGTAGCTCTCTGGGCAGTGACCGTTCTGCTCAATGGACGGTAACGGCAGCTTCAGAGGACTGACTGGATCTGCTGGAATCGTTTCAATATAGGTAACACGGTCACCAGGACTGGCTGTATATGAAACACACAACACAGAGAGGGTCAGAAATGATAATTTCACATCACTATCACAATGAGGAGCTTGATGAATACGTTTCATTCATCAAGCATTCTGCAGATTGACAACTTTGAATTCATGTTTTCTTAGTAATTCATCATCTGTAATGATATTGATTGGCCTGTAGGAGGCAATATATTCTAAAAAATGAGCTCATTAGGTGTTGTCCTATTTGTTTATGGATATGCTGAGCCAATTTGTTGTGAGGAGAAGATCTTCATACTTCTATGTGGATACATCTGTTAAATTAAAATGTACTTTAGCTCAGTCTGGATTAAAACAACAAAGTGATCATCTCCCCTCTAGACTTACTATGGCTGTCAAAATGACTTTTTTTAAATTTGGTGTTGACTGACTTAGCAATGGTCTCACTTTTGAAGGTGGAAGAAAAATAAAAGATTCAATGTAATCTTATCAGTCAACCCATGCAGCAGTAAAGTGCTCACTGCTCAGTATCTTCCAGCTATTTATGAGCCATTATAGGCACCGTTTTTAATGTGTTTCTAATGGCAATATTGAAATGGATGGAAATCCTCATGATAAAAACAGACCCTCAGTTTGTTCCCTGTGACCCTGTTAATATTTTACAACCTTTGAACAGATACAGATGTAGAAGTGCCAAATGAACCAGTTAAAGCTGGAAAATGCCCTGTGACTGTGGACCTGCAGGGGCCTAAAAGATTCTGTGTTTCTTTACTCATCTGGTTTAACTTGATTCATTGCAAATATCCATGGCTGCAAATTTAAAGGGCTCAAGATGTTCAGTGCATCGTTATCTGACCGGTCGAGCAGTCCAGTGAAGGCCTTGTTGTGTCTAATTAGAACAAACATGTAGTGCCTTCACACATACACAGAATTTTCAGAGTGAGCTGCTTGTATGAACACAGACAACTACATTTTTTACTCCATATTTACCTCAAATTATTTCTGAGCAAATGTAAGAAGCAGGAGATATTCTGGAAAATTCACTGTGAGCATGTGGAAAGGGTTGTTGACTTTTATATCTTGCTATCTGTGATCTCTGTGCACGTAATGAAACTGCATCATTGTGTTGTCTGTTCACCAGTATGTTCTTATCCTTTATTTTGCTGATGAGGTGAATATACAAATGGACAGCGTGTCTAAGCCTAATCCCATTTGACAAAGATGAAGCCAAAATACCCCTAGAACCGGCGCTGACATATCGTGAATTTCAGAGACCAGAGTCCTTGCAGTAGGGATCGGATAAAAACAGCAAAGATCTCTTGGTACAGTCCACAGTGGAACAGATTCCTGTTTGCTAAATGTTTGCTACATTTTCTCCTGCCGTCTCTATTCGTCAACAGAGCTGTCACTCATGGCACCATGTACACTACTTTTTATAGCATCAAATAACAAATTAAAAAGAGAGTTCTCAGAAAAAACATGACTTGAACAGTAAATGTCACGATAATAACTAACCATACTGGGTTTGAAAAAAATGTGTCTGATGTACATTTTGATTTTGGAGTTTGTGCTTATGACGTATCCTGCTGCTGTCTTCACTTGAGACGAGGTATTCTACATAAGTGAGGTGCATGTGATAAGAAGTAACAGCAAAAGATTTCAGGGGCAGCCTGTCTGAAATGTTCTATACATTTTCATGAGTGCATTACTGAAAACAGCGATAGACCCAAAAGTAATCTCTTTAAAAAAAACTCAGCAGTTACTGAGTCATTTTACAAGTGTCTCTGTTTTATTCACGTTTTATTATGTGTTGAGATCGTGGAAATAAATAACTTTGAAGCTGATCAAAAAACGGAAAGTACGACACTGATAAAGTATTTCAGTGGCATTAACTCTTAGAATTTATAAATACATACTGATGTGAAAGAAATGCAGAGTTATGAAACAAGAACAATGACTCTATGCTGCAGTAAAACCACAGCAATCCTGTAAAACTAACACCTTGCATACATCTTACTATCAGAAAACCAAACATCCTCACCAGTTGTATTTTTTGAGTAAATTCCGGCAGTGGCACATAGGTTCACTGGAAACACATAGTAAATAACAGTTAAATACAACACGGCAGACAAAAGAAATAATTTATGGGACAGCGTCCCGCAAACAAGACCTGTTTCACAGAATGAGTTGCTGCCTGTGAATTGTGCGTCACATCAAACCAAACAACTGTGTCAGTCTGAATATGTACCGGATGTGGTTTCCCCCATTCAGTCTGTCATTAAGCTCAATGAGCACCATGTTACACAGCTTCTTATTTAACCTGTCTGGGTTATACTAACTCCACATAACCACTAACTACATAATCCACATTAGGCCAAAAGAAACCCAACAGAAAACTGCAGAAATTACCGAAGTGAGTTCTGTTTAAGATTAGGATTAAAAAAAGGAAGAAGATATTTTTCACTGTAACGGAAACAGTGGGAGGGAATGACTGACAGAGAAAAGCTGTGACCTTAAACTGTATGACTTCAAAGCTTTGTGCCTCAGATGTGGCCAATGACATGCGTAGTTACCATTGAGTAGGCATTTCCGTACGTCACATTGTAGCCTCTTAGGAAGACTTTTTTTTTAACTCTGATTGTCAGTATGACATCACAAGTGTGAAAAACAATGATGAAACACACCGGTGATGCACATATCTCTCACCTGATCTGCATGACTTGCGTTTTGATCTCCAGCAGATGAGACCAAACAGCACGAGTGCCGTCAACACAAGTCCTGACCACAGGCCTGCAGGAATGATCCAGTGACAATCTGAGAAACACAGACAGAGGGGGTTTTCAGAGGAACCCAAATACATTGTAATTACCATTTCACACACGTGTCTTCTGGGAAATCAAGTGGGGGAAAAAAGACTGAAATCACTGACTATAAACACACTTATAGCATCTTTTATGAATTAACTTTCATTCAATTTCTATTTAATGTTGTTATCTGTCAGAGAAGTGCTTATGATACCAAACAGCTACATTCAACATGTATAAAGACCTTTGTGACTTTGAATAAGTGGAGTCTAAACACTCTTAAAAATCATTTATATCTATTTTAAGGGTTTATTTATGCATCTGTCAACAGTGTAACTCCTCTAGAGAAGATCCTGAATATAATTATTTAAATAAACATTATGCTCCATAACCCTGCGTCATAGCTGGTCACTAGAAGGCATTATTTACTAATATGACATGTACAAATGATCTATAGGAAGGTTTCAATTACAGTTACAATTTTAATGAAAGTACAGTTACATTCACAAATGATATCCTGGTACTCTTTAAACAGACCGTCATAAATAGTAAGGTGGATTAAAAGGTATACAGCTGGATGATCATAATAAATAAGCAGGGTTATAATAAAGTGTCACAGTCTTCAGCAGCTTTGGATCAGATAACGTTTTTCTATGAACGACTGAGATTGAGTTTGGTTTACAGATCAAAATGTGTCAAAGGTAAATTTCCCACCTTATTCAGTGGAACTTGAATATTTAGGCCAACTGGTATATTATATAAGCTCGCTTGCTGTTTTTAACTCCTGATTTGCTGTCATGAAAATTGAATACAAAGTTTCACTAATCACACAAATATAAAAGCTCCTATATAACTTCAATATCATCAAACAGGAAATGTTTAAATGTGGGATTTAAAAAAAAAAAAATGCAGGATATTCATCAGAAAGTGAGGACTTACTTTAAAACGTTTTGACTGAAATCTAGTTAAGTTCAGTTGCTACCCTAAACATGGTAAACTCAGCTCTGGCAGTCTCAGAGCTTTTTTAAACATGTTGGTATTAGCATATTAGCATTATTAGCATATACTTCCTTAAGGCCCACTTTCCTTGGGCCTTAAATTGAGCCTTCCCTTCCCCACAAGCAAACAAAGTTACTACATAGTGAAAACGAGGCTAATGGAACATGGTGTCATTATACTAAAGCTAAAGCATCAAAAAAACTTACTTTAAAATAAAAATTAATACAAAAGGTAGGCTTATATTGACATGCAGAGCTAATAGTTTAGCTGAAATAGCCACTATGAGAGCAGGGAGAGTAAATCAAATCGTCGAGTTTTGCCCAGGCAGCTCTACAATAGACCCTTTTTCATTCTCACAATGTTTACACTGTTGATTTGTTGTCAATTATTGCAGCTTTAATATTTATTCTATAAAGGTAATATTAACTGTTTCAGCCTGTCACAACGACCAAACCAACCACTATCTCCTCTTGATTTCCTATCTGCACTTCCTGTACTTCCTCTGTGAATAACCCGTCATTTGACAAACACAAGCTGCAGATCATCATTCACTCACTAAGTCATTCAGGATAAGACGATCCGCTACATTGACTGCTCAAGTGATTGGTTTCTTCGAAAGATAATATCTCAGAAGATTGATTTAGTTTGAAACAAAAGCCCAAAACAACAAAAGAAAAAGATCAAGACGTACCAGATATGAAGTTACCACAGATGGCATCAGCTTTCGGGGTTCCTGGAGTTTTCAATACTCTTCCCAAGTCCTCACACCTGACAACAAGGACGGACAATAAAAATCCATGTACTGTACAGGATATACTTTAGAAATTTGAAATCAATAGAAATAGTTGTTTTTATTTGGGCAGGTATTTAGCTGCTGCATTTTGGATTTATTAAAAGCTCGAAGCTCTTAAAATAGTTCCTACACTGTGGATGAAATAGTCACCGAAAGTGTGATGTGGGAGGTAAAGTTTGTAGAAAGAAGATCTCACATGCTCAATGAACTGAAACGCAATTGCCGCTGTGTAATGAATGACTAATCGTAGGTAAATTTACCACCTTATTCAGTGGAACTTGAATATTTGAATGTTTAGCCCAACTGGTATATTATGTAAGCTTGCTTGCTGTTTTTAACTCCTGATTTGCTGGCATGAAAATTGAATACAAAGTTTCACTAATCACACAAATATAAAAGCTTACATATAACTTCAATATCATGTCAAAAAACAGGAAATGTTTAAATGTGGGATTTTTTTTTTTTTTTTAACAAAATGCAGGATATTCATCAGAAAGTGAGGACTAGAATTATGAATACAAAACAACACTCGAGGAGAAGCAGTCTGACCTGGTGTGTGTTTGACAGGCTGAGTGGAAATCTGTTACGTTGCTGAAGGTCCCTTTTTCACAGTCTGCACAAATAGTGTCATTTGTGCGAGTGGCTGCAAGGAGGCACAAAACATATTTTCAGATACCATGTTAGCAGTATTTTGTCAATATGTGAACGCTTGGTGGAGTGAAAGCTTACCTTTAACTTTGACACCTTGGCCCAGACCACAGGTCTTAACTTTCTGGCAGTGGTCACACTGATCATTTTTACAGAAGAAACCAGTCTCACACTCACACACTGTGTCCTCATGAGCATCACAGTCCTTTACCTTCCTTCGGTTCTTCTCTGAAAGAGTCAAAGACAAATACAGCTTCATGTAAACCCATTCAAACAGAAGTCTCTCTTGCTCTTATTACAGATCTGTTTTATGTTTCCTTTCAATAGTAGTTAACAGAACTCAAATTGAGCAATCACTTCAATTATTTCTCGATAGTTTTGAAAATGTAAAATTGACTGAGTAAGATTCACTTAATCGTCACTTAAAAAGTCCCCATGAAATTAAAAACACATTTTCCCAGTTAAAATCCAGCGCTCTTGTGTTCAATGTTGGTTTTACTGCCATATATTTCAATAAAGCATTATTGGAGTATTTAAACTAAATCTTCTCTTCCTGTACAACATGTCAAATGTCTGATGACTGATCCTGCACTCAGGGGTGTTTCCTAATTTTTGACCAATTAAAAAGTGCTTTTACACTAAATATCACATTCACATATTCACATCACATTCACACATTCACACACCAATCAGTGTCCAATGGGAGGAATTTGGGTTTGCTACCAGTGAACATTGATGTTAGTGGTAATAACACAGAAAATATTAATTTAAGCTGGTTGCGTTGGTTAGTACTACTGACAATACAAAACAATTGCATCACCTCATAAACACTGAAGTTGAATCTCAGGTAAAATACAAGAGGCTAGAGCTGGTGATGTTTGTGATTACTGTCTAAATCATATTTTCTATCCATAAACTTGTCCCCTTACTTAAATGGAGCCGTAAAATGTTTGTTGAGGGACATACTTGAATACTGAAGTAGGCTATGTGATGGTTGCATCAACAAATGAATATATTAGAGATATCTATATAGACAATTCCCAAGCAGAGCAGCAGGTCAGGGGTTCAAAAAAATGAGAAAGATTTATAGTAGAACTGTTACAAAATGTGTCTCAACTCTTTAAAAAAAAATTGGTTGGGGGTGGGGGGTGTGGGGGCTGCATTTGCTGACCTGAAGTATCTGTGTGTTTGGTAAGTATGCCTGTCTGTGACTCACCAAGACTGCAGTTCCTACAGGGTAGACATTTGAACATGTAATTTTTGGTGGCTGTGAAGAACCCACGTCCACACTTGCCACACTCGGTCTTCTTTGTGTTGTCACATTCTGCTCTAACATAAGATCCTAAAAAAGACAGAAGGCAGAAATGTGTAAGATGTAAAATGCTTAGCTATAGAGCAAAAAAAGTGAAGTAAAAGTTTCTTAAAAATAGGTACACAGTAGGTCCTCACAGTCCTGCGGAAGAAGTTTGTTATCACAGCAAAACATATGAAACGTGAAGTCAACTGACCTGCAGCGCATTTATCGCAGCATCTGTCATCTCTGAGGTATTTATCCTCTCTTGTACAGTTCATGTTAGAAAAATATCTCAAATCAAGACTATGAAAACTCTCTTTCTTTTAAACCTGCTCCTAACCTTTCAAATTAAAGCTGTTCACTTGATCTAAGCTGACAGAGCATCACTCGAGATACAATCTCGTTTCCTTTCCTCTCTTTGTGTCAACCTTACGCTCTTCTACCCTGACTCTCTTTCTTGCTGATCTGTCTGTGACTAAAGCCTTACTTACTTCTAAAGCTTTCTAATCCTACACAGTGGAAACCCCCAGTGGCCTCCGTCTCTCTCTCTCTCTGTCTCTGTCTCTGTCTCTCTCCGTCTCTCTCTCTCTCCGTCTCTCTCTCTCTCTGTCTCTGTCTCTGTCTCTCTCCGTCTCTCTCTCTCTGTCTGTCTCTCTCTCTCTCTCCGTCTCTGTCTCTTTTTCTCTCTGTCTCTGTCTCTCTCTCTCCGTCTCTGTCTCTGTCTCTTTTCTCTCTGTCTCTGTCTCTTTTTCTCTCTGTCTCTGTCTCTCTGCCTCTCTGTCTCTCTCTCTCTCTCCGTCTCTGTCTCTTTTTCTCTCTGTCTCTGTCTCTGTCTCTCTCTCTCTCCGTCTCTGTCTCTTTTTCTCTCTGTCTCTGTCTCTGTCTCTCTCTCTCTCCGTCTCTGTCTCTTTTTCTCTCTGTCTCTGTCTCTCTCTCCGTCTCTGTCTCTTTTTCGCGCTCTCTCTCTCTGTCGCTCTCTCTCCGTCGCTCTCTCTCCGTCGCTCTCTCTCCTTGTTTCCTTCCTGTGCTAACCCTCTCAGTGCAAGGTAACCAACATGTGTGTTTCCGTACTTCTTCAGACCCAAAGGTTTTTTTTGTTGTTGCAGCACAATAAGACGTTTCCTCTCCCCTCTACGCCCTTTCCTTTCTCTCCATCTCAATTGTTTTCACTGAACCTTTGGCTCGGTGGCACAGTGCAGGGAGCATATGGAGCTAAACCTGCAAAATGATTTTGTACTACTTACAGCTCATCTGGAAAGTTTTTGACCTCTTCTGTCTTCCTGGTACCCAGATTACCCCCTAGTTGCACTTTTGTCCTGTAATCATATAAAAAAAAACAAAAAAACAGCTCTATAAAATGCCAGCGTTTGCATAAAATGTGAGGGAGAGAGGAGGAAGGAGGAAAAGAAAGTATTTTTTTTAAGAAAAGGGGAAGGGTGGATATGGTTTATTTGTGAAGAGATTTGATCGGAACATGATGTTACGAATAAGGTGGGTTTGGATTTATATGCGTTTTAATATTATCTCATTACTACAACTGCCTCTATAAACAGGAAGGCTGGTTGTAAGAAGACATTATTGTAATGGATCATAGGGAGAGTTTTCTGTGATATATCTGTATTTATTTGGACTTTCTGCCGACTTTGGCTCCTTTAAGTGTATAGCTGGGTTATCTCTGGATCACAAACTAAAACAATATTACATAAGAAGGGGGAGGGGTTGCTGTACTCAGTTTTGTACTTGGTGCTGTTTTGCCACCCTGCATCATGATGCCTTTAATTGAATTACGAGCATTCATATCTATTTAGTAAAACGTACCTGGCTCGTGATATTGTTTTTATAGGCCTGTAACTGTCAGTTCTGGAAGTGGCATATATGAGTAAAAGCAAAATTGTGGCCATTGCATTCTACACTCCTCCTTTCCCTTTCAATGTGGCCTTCTTTATTCTTTTATTTTTCTGTGTTTCACATTTTCCCTCAGTCTCCTGCTCATTCTGCTCTCACACACTGTCCGCTCGACCCTGCTGGGATGGGTGGAGTCTCCAGGGTATCCCAGTGGGTATCTGCCCCATGCTAGTCTGAACTGGAGCAGGTGTGCCCCCAAAGGTCACACCATCTCCATCAGGTTCATCCACCTGGACCTGGAGGACAGCCGGGACTGTGAAAACGACGCTGTGAAGGTCAGAGGTCAAGACAAACAGCAAATGTTTCAACACAGTCAGCGTTTTTAACTTTTGCCAGTACCAGTTATCAAACCATATTGTTGTGATTTTCTTTTTTATTTCCAGGTCTTTTCCGATGGAAATCTTATTTCTGTACTG